GTATTGCCCAGGTTCCGGCGGACGTTTGGCGCCGGCGGCGGCTTGATTCGATGTGAACTTCCGGATTTTCATCTATCCGCTACAGCGACTACTGGTTAGTTTATTTTTTTTGTTTCTTCATCTTCTCTAAGTGAGTTTTTTTTTCCGATTATCAAAGTGTTTGCTCAATTTTGGATTTGGTTGCAGTTGCAGGTGTATCGACCGAGACTTCGGTGGATCAAGTTCAGATTCCTAAAGGTGAAATGTGGAGTGTTCACAAGTTTGGTGGGACATGTGTGGGAAACTCCCAGAGGATCAGGAATGTCGCTGAGGTTATAATCAACGATAACTCGGAGAGGAAGCTGGTGGTTGTCTCGGCGATGTCGAAGGTGACGGATATGATGTATGACTTACTCCGCAAGGCACAGTCGCGAGACGATTCCTATTTATCTGCGCTGGAAGCTGTCCTTGAGAAGCACCGCTTGACAGCTCGTGACCTCCTCGACGGGGAGGATCTCGCTAGCTTCTTGTCGCATCTGCATAGTGATATTATCAATCTCAAAGCAATGCTTCGTGCGATCTACATAGGTTTTGATTTCTCTCGATGCTCTTTATTTGCGTTTCTTGATTCCTTTTCGTCTGATTTCAAAGGAGGAACTGACATCTTTCATTTGCAGCCGGCCACGCATCAGAGTCATTCTCAGATTTTGTTGCGGGACATGGGGAGCTTTGGTCTGCTCAGATGCTTTCGTTTGTTGTCAGAAAGGTTTGTAATAATGCGTATGGTAATTGTAAATGGCTGTGTACGCTTTGTAACCTCTCTGTTCTTTTGACTGTAGACTGGGCTTGAGTGCAAGTGGATGGATACCAGAGACGTGCTCATCGTTAACCCTACCAGCTCTAATCAGGTCGATCCTGATTTTGGTGAGTCCGAGAAGAGACTCGAGAAGTGGTTCTCCTTAAATCCGTCGAAAATCATTATCGCGACCGGGTTCATTGCGAGCACTCCACAAAACATTCCAACAACTTTGAAAAGAGATGGGAGTGATTTCTCCGCGGCGATCATTGGTGCTCTTTTGAGGGCTCGTCAAGTAACAATTTGGACTGATGTCGATGGTGTTTACAGTGCGGATCCTCGTAAAGGTCTTCTGTCCTAATCTTTCTCGCATCTAGTAATTCATTTTCTTAATTCGAAAGATGAAGCTATAATAAGAAGTTTTTGTTCTGCAGTTAATGAAGCAGTAATACTCAAGACACTTTCTTATCAGGAGGCCTGGGAAATGGTAAACGTAGCGTTCTTGTTATCCTAGCTTCATGATGCCAAGTACAAGCTTGTGATCAAAACTTTTTAACTTTCATGCAGTCTTATTTTGGAGCAAATGTTTTACATCCTCGCACCATCATTCCAGTGATGCGGTATAATATTCCGATTGTGATTAGAAATATCTTCAATCTCTCTGCACCGGGGACAGTGATCTGTCAACCTCCTGAAGATGATTATGACCTTAAACTGACAACTCCTGTCAAAGGTTTTGCAACCATTGACAATTTGGCCCTCATAAATGTTGAAGGGTAAGCTAAGTTTTGTTTATATTTATTTGTAAACGACAAGTTGAATTCACCGCTCTCTTATTGACTTCCCTCTTCCAAATCCATTTTGACAGTACTGGAATGGCTGGTGTACCTGGTACTGCAAGTGACATTTTTGGCGCTGTAAAAGATGTTGGAGCTAATGTGATTATGATATCACAGGTGCCTAAAATCTCAAACTCTACCTTAGTAGTATACCAATTTTCGTCATCTATAAGCAGAGGCTGATACCGTTGATAATCATTGTTCAGGCTAGCAGTGAGCATTCTGTGTGCTTTGCTGTGCCTGAGAAGGAAGTAAAGGCTGTTTCCGAGGCACTGCGATCGAGATTTAGTGAAGCTTTACAAGCTGGGCGTCTTTCACAGGTCTCTCTCTCTCTCTCTGATCTCTGTTTTGCTTTCCGCTGCAGATAACACAGGACTTCCCTGCGTAATCTTACCAGGCATATTCATTTGATGATTTTGTCTTTGGCATGTTTCACTATTTTGAAAAATGGCATTTTTTTCCCTTTTCAGATTGAGGTGATACCAAATTGTAGCATCTTAGCTGCAGTCGGCCAGAAAATGGCTAGTACGCCGGGAGTGAGCTGTACACTTTTCAGTGCTCTGGCGAAGGTGATTATTACACAATACTGTAACCACTATGCTTCTTTGTTAAATTGCTCCCTCATGGTTGCTTGTCTTTGTATCTCACTTGCAGGCAAATATTAATGTCCGTGCTATATCTCAAGGTTGTTCTGAGTACAACGTTACTGTAGTTATTAAACGTGAAGATAGCGTAAAGGCATTGAGAGCCGTGCACTCGAGGTTTTTCTTGTCAAGAACCACATTAGCAGTGGGAATCATAGGACCTGGTTTGATTGGTGCTACGTTACTTGATCAGCTGAAGGACCAGGTGAACTTCTTAATGCTGCTCTGTTATTTTCCTTACAAAACGTTACATTACCTTCTCTCTGGCAGTGCTCGTCCTTTTGAGAAGCTGATTAAGCATTAAATAATGTTTTTCAGGCTGCTGTTCTCAAACAAGAATTCAACATTGATCTGCGTGTTTTGGGAATCACTGGTTCAAAAACTATGGTATTAAGTGAGATGTAAGACTGACTTCTTCTGTACAGTTCTTTGATTCTGACGCACTCATGAAATGCCCTTTTGCTTTTCTTTCTCCACCATTGCTGAAAATCAATGCTTTTGCAGCTTGACATTTTCTGGTCAATCCTAAGATCGATTTCAAACTGTGGATGATTTTTCTCTGCTTTACCATCACATGACTTGCACCTTATGTTGTTTATTTCAGTGGTATTGATTTGTCAAGATGGAGAGAACTTCTGAACGAGAAGGGAACAGAGGCCAATCTGGACAAATTCACTCAACAAATTCATGGGAATCATTTTATCCCCAACACGGTATTGGTTGATTGTACAGCAGATTCTGCTATTGCGAGCCATTACTATGATTGGTTACGGAAGGGAATCCACGTCATCACCCCAAACAAAAAGGCTAACTCGGGTCCCCTTGATCAGGTGATACATCCTTCTCATCAAATATAAATCTTTTGATCTCTATGTTAGAGAAACTCAATAGGAAATGTTCCTGTCCTGTGTTGGTCTTTTCATACTTTTTCACTGATGTTTCGTGTTTGATACTCAGTACTTGAAACTGAGAGATCTTCAAAGGAAATCCTACACTCATTACTTCTATGAAGCCACTGTTGGAGCTGGTCTTCCAATTATCAGCACTTTACGTGGTCTCCTTGAGACAGGAGACAAGATCCTACGCATAGAGGGCATTTGCAGGTCTGTTAAAATAAAAGCTTCCGCCACATTTTGACGCTGAGTTCCTCTCTGGTGCTGAGTCTGGTGACTTGTCTTTGTTTTATTTGTTGCAGTGGAACCTTGAGTTACCTATTCAACAACTTTGTTGGAGACCGAAGTTTCAGCGAGGTTGTGACAGAAGCAAAGAACGCAGGTTTCACTGAGCCTGATCCAAGAGATGATTTATCTGGAACTGATGTTGCAAGAAAGGTAAACAGATTATCAAACAACTCACGCAGCAAAGTTCTGGCAACTGATGGTCGTCTCTTTCATGGAACTATAAAACTCTTTCTTTTGTGCAGGTGATTATCCTCGCTCGAGAATCTGGACTTCGATTGGACCTCGATGATCTTCCCATTAGAAGTCTCGTCCCAGAACCTCTTAAAGTAAACCATCTTAACATTAAAAAAAAAAAAAAGTTGATAAACCATTTTCTATGTTTCTAATTCTGTTCTCAATCTACTTTCAGGGATGCACTTCTGCTGAAGAATTCATGGAGAAACTCCCGCTGTATGACGAAGACCTAGCAAAAGAAAGGCTAGAAGCTGAAAACTCCGGAGAAGTAAGATTCATTCACCATATGATCTTAAAATCCGGTTAAAGATCTTTCCCTTTGATAAATTTTCGATCATATCAACCATATATAATGCAAACTCTGCGATTCAGGTCCTGAGATATGTTGGAGTGGTGGACGCAGTAAACCAAAAGGGCACAGTGGAGCTTCGAAGATACAAGAAGGAACATCCATTTGCACAGCTGGCAGGTTCAGACAACATAATAGCATTCACAACGACAAGGTACAAGGATCATCCACTTATTGTCCGAGGACCTGGAGCCGGTGCTCAAGTCACGGCCGGTGGTATTTTCAGCGACATACTAAGGCTCGCATCTTATCTCGGTGCACCGTCTTAAGATGGTTTTTTTTATTTATTTAAAAAACCCCAAAATTCAGTTTTGCTTATTTTGATACTAAAAGTACCAGCTATACGAATCAACAACTTTTTACTTGGTATTTTCTCTAGACTTGCTTAGTTCGTAGCTTATATTGGTTTAATTATGTGGTAATCATGTACAATAGCAACTAGTTCTGTTTGAATTTACTGTCTTGTTCCTTTTCTTTCTTTGATACTGTTTTTTTATTTATGTAATATTTACAAATCAAAACGATTTGCTATTTAATAAAACGAGCCATTGAGAGTATTTTTTTAGAATATGCGCACATCTTATTGTCTTCCAAATATTGAGAATTTTTATACATAATTTAAGAGGTATTCTACGTTTTCTTAATCTGAATAATTTTCAATACTAACTTTGTATATTCATTTGTGACTGTTGTCATGTTACAAATTTATTTATTGCAAATATAAATAGAGATATTGTGTTGTTTTTTTTTGACATAATTTAGTGTCAAGAGAAGTTCAATTTGTCGCAAATGGTCACAATTTAAATATAAATATGCGTAGCATAGTTTTATTATAAATTTGCGTCGAAACAAATATTGTAGCTATGTTGACTTATGCGCAAACATGTTTTTATTTCTTCATTTATGTATTTCTCCTTGACTTTGTAGTTTGTCCGGAGAGTGGTAACCTGAAAACGTCCTTTTAGACCACTCAATCTCCTAAGTATCCCAGGCTTGTGACGCTGCGAGAACCCACATTAAAAGTTTATCCACATTAGAATTGCATGAAACTCTATCCCTTTATATATATATATGGGATGACTACGCATTAGTATATTTCCAATTCATGTAGTACTTATATATAAATATTTTCGTAGTAAGAAGACGAACCTGCACGAGAGAGTTCAGAACCATCGTCATTTCCAACGTGCCAAGAAAAGTAACCAAGCAAACCCTTCTGCTTAGCGTATCTCACTTTGGTCACGATGCTCTTCTCACTGTCGTATCCGATCCAAGTCGTCCCGGCGTAGGAATAGTCTCCCACCATCTGATCATCATGCACCGTGGTCGCTTTGTTCTCCACTATCCAACTCTTTAACTGAATGTATCTGATTGAACCATCCTTTGATATCGCTGGTCCATTGGTGGCTGCGCCATAGCCGTTACTGTTGGCGTTTGCGAGAGTCCAGGACCAGCCATTGTATGGGAACCCTAAAACTGCTTTCTTTGTCGGAAGTCCTGCTTCAGTCCACTCCTTCACGCCTGAGTCCCCGCTTCGTCCTTCAAAAATAATAATCGAAAAATAAGGTCTTGCATTAAATAAAGAGAAATTTGGTTTCGTTCGCTTATTGTAGTTACCTGCGTTTGAAGGATCATACAGAGCGGCTGGTGGACCGGTCACTCTAGACCAGCCCGGTCCATAGAAATCATAGGCCATAAGATTAACCCAATCCAAGCTGTTGGAAACGGCTTGAACCGGGTACAGTACCGAATCACAATTCGAGGAGTAGCAAACCGCAGCGGTCAATAGCAAACGCGGTTTACCGCTGCTAGTGGACTCGGCCTCAACCGCCGATCGCCATTCTTGTAGTAGCGTCCCGAAATCGCTCATCTCTGCCGAATTTTTCGGAGTCTCCCAGTCTAGATCGAGGCCGTGGAAGCCGTACGACCTAGCAAGGCTGATTGACGAATCACTGAACGATTTCCTGGAGCTCGGGTTACTCGCCATGGACGCAAACGCTGTTTTATTAGCGTCTCCACCGCCGATAGACAAAAGGGTTTTAACAGAAGGGTTTCTCCGTTGGACGGTTTGTGTAAAAGTGGAGAATTTGGCTTGGTTCGCGGAAGAGACAGTGACTTGATTTGTTTGATAGTCGAGGTCAGCGAAAGCGCAGAAAAGGTGAGTGAAGAGAGATGAGTCGATATCGGTGACCGGAAATTCACTCCCCGATAACCAGTATGAAGCTTTCACGACGGTTTGGGCCGAGGAAGATTGGAGGAGGAGAGAGAAGGAGAAAGTGACAGAGACAATGAGCGAAATTATTTTTGTCGAAGACATTGTGGAGTTGCTGTGAAAAACAGAGGATGGGTTTCGTTGTATACTTATCGTAAAAAAACTCTTTAATTTCGTTGATAATTCAACGTTGAAAAATCTATGAACCGAAATTCACGTAAGAGAAAAGTCTTGGGACAAACAGCTGCCTAAACCGCGTTTTGATAGTTGAGTTCAGCGAAAGCGCAGAAAAGGTGAGTGAAGAGAGATGAGTCAATGTCGGTGACCGGAAATTCACTCCCCGGGAACCAGTATGAAGCTTTCACGACGGTTTGGGCTGAGGAAGATTGGAGGAGGAGAGAGAAAAAGAAAGTGACAGAGACACGAGTGTACTTTGAGTGGGAAAGCTAGGCAGCTGTTTGAAATTGATGTAACTAACTCAATGTTTTAAAACGCGGTTTAGGCAGCTGTTTGACCGGTGTCTTGACGCTGCGTGGTGACCGGACGTCTCAATTTCATGGTATTGATTTGTTTAGGCGTATCTAAAGAGTTTAACAGATTTAACAAAAAAACTTTGTCAGCTTCTAAAAATTTCACTTTAACAAAACAAAGTATTTATTCATAGAGTTTAGGTGAATTTCCTTCTTTTTAATGGCCTGGAGTATTTCATGAGATTATAAATTTAGAGATTAGTTCAAGTTATGTTCTATATTCAAACCTAAGAATATTTCTACTCTCAATTAAATTTCTTAACATACCAAGTTGTAGCCATTTTATATATTAATCTTAGTTTGGTTTATTTAAGCATTAATAATTTAATAGTGTGTCATTTGTGGGCTATAAATCCTAGACTTTGCTTATAGTAGCTGCTGATCAAGTAGTCTTGGATGTGATTTTTTTTTTTTAACTTTTACTAATTAAACCCTTTTAGAAGCATTATTGGCTTCTTGCTTTTACTATTATCTTAATTTCTTATTATTCCTATTTTTTGACAATATATATATACAGTAAAACCTCTATAAATTAATAATGTTGGCACTCTCAAATTTTATTAATTTATAGAGATATTTTTAGTTTGAATTTTTAATATTTATAAAAAAAACAAAATTAATATTTTCAATAATGTAAAATTCATTCAAAAATGTCATAATAATGAATTTAGAAGATAAATCAAACAAATTTTATTAACTTGAAACAACAATACTATCATAGTTTACTATATTATATTATTAATTTATGTCTAAATGTATAATTATTAATTTATATTATTATTGAGACCATATTTTTACATAAAACTTTCAAAAAAGTATTATTTTATTATCTTATCGAGTTTTGTCAATTTTTACACTGGCCCGACTTGAGACCGGCAAAAATTATTAATTTATAGTGATTATTAATTTATCGAGTATTAATTTATAAAGGTTCTACTGTATATATAAGCAAGTTTAGCTTTCTCGTTGCTATACTATTTAACCAACTCTCAGCATAGTTTCTGGTTTTGAGTCTGTACAATGGATGCATTGATCCTTCTAAACTATGGTTGTTGAATCCATCTTGGAATTATATCTAAATTGGTTGATTGTGGAACCAAAAATTGTTGATTGAAACTTGATCATGTGGATGGAAGAGTTGGTGATTGTGATCTGGATGCACACTCCCGCGATCTCTTAACTGATTTTAACATCTTGAGCTGCATTGGATAGAGACTATATGTGTACAAGTATCATCAAAGATCTCTATGTTGCCTAGTGTTCGAGGAGAATACTTGCAGAGTATATGTCTAGAGCAAAAGATATACTATGGCAGCATTTCTTTCCTTTAAGGGAAACAATCTCTATCGTAAGCTTTATATGGTTTTTCTTCATTTTTTTGTGGTTTGGAGATAAACGTGTTGATCAGATAGTGAAGAGAGACGGAAGAAGCTATTCCTGAGCTGAAAGAGCGCCGGAACAAAATAGGTTTAGGAGAGAGAAACAATACTATTATCCTTTGTTTTTGAGGTTTCCAATAATTTAAATATGTTTGAATAGTCTCCGTCAAAAAAGCTTTCATAGATCAGTTGGTAAGAGCACCCTTTTAATAAAACAATTTTACCTTAAGACTTTTATGAAAGCTTTTTTAGCCAAAGAATCAGAGATATGCACATGAAGGTCAAAATTTCAAATCAAGCTTATGAAGAACAATATAACCTGTCTTCAAGGATTCACATAAAGATCTATCATTTATTCCGTAACATTGATCTTTCATCATAGTAGAATGAGAATACAAAGAAATGAAAACAATTGAAAACCCTTTTTGCAAAAAAAAAAAAAGTTAAGAAAATAATATAGTACAATTCAAATGAATTGGATCTTGCACTTGGAAGAAGCTGTATGGAAGAGCTTCTGTAGTTTGTTGGTGAGTGACGAGTTATCTTGCATATCCACCTGAAGCTTAACTTTCACAACTTCAAGACACCTCAAATTCTCCATGAAATGTCTCATCTGTTTCAACTCTCTACAACTTCCTCCGTACTCATAAATCTGTAGAACCTTCACTTGACACGACAATAAACAACTTTGCTTCTTCCTCTTCTTCGTCACACGTTCGCAAACGCATACATCCCCACATTCCTTTGTAATCTTGTGCACAAGACCCTGAAAACATAATAACAAACAGCACAGCTAGTTATAAGAATAAGAGAGAGAGATTATCTGTTTGTTAGTTTTGCTTTCGTGTTAGTTTTCAGACCTTGATGACTAGAGTTTCTAGGTTTGGAGCATTCTCGAGCAGAAGTGGCAATACTTGCCAGTGGCGTTCCTTGTGGCTCTCAAAAGATAACTTAGCAAGGTTGTTGAACTCGGGCATAGATGTAGAGCAGCAATAAAACACCTGATGATAGCACCAAACAGATGTTCAAACAAAGCCATGGCTACAAACTGACAAGAACAAGAAAAGGGAGAGAGAGAGGGAGTAGGAAAGTGACCTCGAGAGAATCAGCAGACAGGTGAAGGGTCACAACATTGCTAATCGCTGCAATGAGTTTGTCTGCACCCCAAGCATCACCCCAAGTTGTAGAATCATACAGTGGTGGGACAGAATCATTATGCTTCCACAATACAAGATCCAGTCTAGCCTCGACAAGCGAATCCAATTCAACAACATAATTTTCTGCCACATGGCCAGAGTAGTCAAGGTACACAAGATTGGGCGTCTCAAATAAAACCCAACTGCAGGCTTCTCGATCATGACAACGGTGAAAAAGGGATATTCTCTGGATTGATGAGCTCCGCACACGTTTTAAACAACCCGATTGAAGAGGATCATCATCACATATGTTGAATTCCTCAAGCAAAGGGCTGGAGAGGAGGCACTCATACAAATCATCACCATATAAAAAATCATCAAACCACACCCGAATGAGAGAGAGACTTTTGAGTGCAGGGAAGAGCACACCGCCCGGAAAAGGTTTGTTTTGGTCATTATATCCATCGGATAGAGTGAGTTTGACCAATGTCTTGCTGAAGAAGAACTCAGGCTCTATATATCGTATGCATGATGATGCCAAGTGTAGTTCCAAGATTCCACGTCCCAGCACATTGCCGACCAGATGGTTGTACCGAGAATCGTCTATATATGATATCCCTCTCAAAGAGACTGTCTTGATGGGGGAATCACCCATCGATACAAGGGTTCTCTCCACGAAATCAAGGAAGCCACGGCCACTAGCTGTTGATCCTCTGTTGGCAGACTCATCGAAATCAAGGTTTTGTGCCAGTGGTAACAGATTCCTCCACCGCTTTGAGAGAACTGATGCCGAAGCAGCAATTTTTGTAGGTACAAAAGACAGGATCTGACCCAAAACCTCGTCTGGTAGGCTGTTTATTGATTCTCCACCACAAGTTTCCACCTTTTTGGCTGCAATAGCCATTGAGCTTTACCTGGAAATAAACAGAGTCAATTTTCAGAATCGACCCTCTACAACAAACAAGCTCTTTACACAGTTCATGCTTTGATTATCACGGGCAGAGACAATCAACTTCTGACCATCAATCGAGCTTAAACAATCTGACAATCAATCGAACATAAACACTCTGACAATCAATCGAACATAAACAATCTGGATCCGAAAAAAATCCAATAAGATTTAGAACCACCTGAGAGAAGAAAAGTAGATACCTTCGAAGAAAGAGACAACACGAACAAGACGGAAGCTTGTTGATGACAAGAAATCGCTTCAAAGGAAGAAGACATCGAATGTTCAGTTTTTTTGGGAGTTTTTTGACAAAGGAAATTCTTCATTGTTTTCCTTTTTTTTTTTACCAGCATATATCTCCTTTATCAATTTTATAAATGAATCACGATAAGAAAAGTAAATTTATGCTGCTAAAAAAACAATTAAAATCTTCTTTTTCGTTGGCACATAATGAAACTTCTGTGAATCCAAGTTGAAAAATTTCTGACATATATTATAGAATATCCAAATGCTTACGAGAGATAATTCAGTTTACGTATATTATTTTGATTTCTTGTCTAACAAGAAACCTATAAGTACCATCACTTATCAGTGCGTTCGAAAACGAGAGTTCCAAGAATAGAACCTTCTCGTGATAATGTCACACACACACGACAATCAACCATTTTTATTTGAAACCGTCTTGATAATATCTCTTTATCGTCGCTTAACTGACATATGTGGTTTCTAATAAAACCCGACTTCAAGCTTCGGTCATATGATTGGTTCTCTCTTCTCTGGAACCTTCCTTCTCAAACAGATCCCAGTCTCACTAACATGGCGCATATCAAACCTTAGGGAAATAATCTCTATGAAACTAATGTTAATTTGGTCCAAACTTTCAAATCCTGTATATAAAAAGTACTAATTCTAGGGTAGCATGCCAAACTCTCTCATGCCTAAATCAATTCCATAATCACTTGATGAGCCGCTCTTATTTTATTTTGATCACAACCACTATCTGATGTGGCATGTGTACACGATATACCCTTATCATTTCCATGTTTTATTCGAGTGGATAATACTTTTGGGATTTGACTTTCGCGTATAATAATATCTAATCTAAAATGAAAAGGCGAACAACAAGTAGCTGTAATAATGATCTTGGTGTTGTCTTTTAGGAACAAGTGGTATGTTGTTTGTGAAATTGGGTTTGTGAGTGGTGATTTTGGGACAGGAAGGGTGACTCTCAAGAACCAAAATCCCTTCAACTTGTGTGTTTTAATGGTGTTTATTCTTAATATTTGAGCTTCTACTTCCGTTCCTATCACATTAATACCGCCTCATGGGGACTCTCCCGATTATTCCTTTGTAGCCGTACAGTGAATTCTAGAGCATACCAAAGCCTATCATCAGGGGCGGATCCATGTTATAGGTGGATGCACTGGGTGGGGCATC